CTGCGTAGTGTGGGGGTCCTGGGGGGGGAATTATACCTCAGCCTGAAGTGGGGCTTTAATAAAATGGAGACCTGAATGGAGAGGTGAGGAGGATTCTGGGAATATCATTTGATGTGACTATTTGTGTTCAGATGTAGAGTTTTCCTCCTGTGAAGTCTGGAGATCATATGACATCACATTGCCTCCACCTCCCTCCCTGATAAAAGAGAGAAAGAAGAAGAAGATTCTAGAAGTCACCAGAGAGATCACTGAGCTGCTGACAGGAGAGGTGAGCGGTGCCGGGAATTCTGGGACATTCTCCAGTAACAGACAAGGGATGTGTCTGGATGGTGACTGTATCATTGTGTGTGTCAGGTCCTATAAGGTGTCAGGGTGTCACTGTCTATTTCTCCATGGAGGAGTGGGAGTATTTAGAAGGACACAAGGATCTCTACAAGGACGTCATGATGGACAATCAGCCGCCCCTCACATCACCGGGTAAGAGGAGACTTTATTGTAAAGGAGAGAGCAGTACGGAGGATCCACCTAGATCCCCATCATCTGATAAACACATAGAAACAATGGATTCAGTCAGTGTGTGTGTTTCCTACAGATGGATCCAGTCATGGGAACCCACCAGAGAGATGTCCCCGTCCTCTGTATTCCCGGGATTCCACACAGGAAGGTCACACCATCCCTCACCATCATCAGGTAGATGATGACAATTATTGGTAGTTGTGATTTATACACAGCATGTTTGTTACAATGAATGTTTTATTATATCTTTCAGAGTGGAATCCTCGGGGATGATAATATTGATGTTAAAGAAGAGTATAAAGAGGAGGATGAGGAGTATGGAGTGATGGAGGAGTTTTCAGAAGGACACAAGGATATGATGGAGCCACCTAATACTAGGAACCCACCAGAGAGATGTCCCCGTCCTCTGTATTCCCGGGATTTCACACAGGAAGGTCACACCATCCCTCACTATTACAAGGTTGGTGGGATGGAGAATCTAGAACATGGACTTGTAGAGACTATGGGCTCCAATCACAAAGCGGTATCTTCCCGTATCCCACTATGTAGTAAGATGCTGCATTCTGTTTTTTAGTAGTGAATCCTGCGGGTAATTTACCACTGGTGTCCATAGCAACACTTGTAAATAGCTTGTTGTTAAGGAGAGGGCAGCCGCCTGTGTCCCCAACAACCAGTAAACAAGGAGAGGACGGCCACCAGTTCCCCGCTGACAGCTGTGACAGGTCTGGTATGGATTTTGAGGGAATCCCCCAATGCCAAAACAATAAAAAAAAAATGGCGTGGGTTTCTCTCCAAAATCAATACCAGCCCCTTAGTGAGTGCCCACCTTCCTCCTGAACCATATCAGACCACATATCCTCAACATGGGGTGGGTGCTTCAGGGCAGCGGCGCTCTGCCACCCCAAAAGCACCTTGTCCCCATGTCGATGGGGAAAAGGGTCCCTTACCCACATCCCTGGCCAGTGGTTGTGGGGGGCTGTGGGTGGGGGACTTATTGAAATCTGGAAGCCTCCTTTAACATGGAGGCCCCAGATGCCAGCCCCCCCACAATGTGAATGAGTATAGATTACATAGTACCCCTATTCATTTACCAAAAAAGGGTAAAAAAAAACTGTAGGAAAGTTTTGACAAAACAAAAATAAAGAACAATATCCCCCTGATGTAGATCCATCGATGATCCAATCACAATACTCGCTGTCATTGCTGGCTGGAAGAAAAAACAAAGCTCCCCTCCTGCCATCTGACAGCTCCGCCGCCTCCCACTTCTGAAAACACGAAGGACTGCTACTACCCTGTGACATCACTGGGTAGCCTTGCCCTCTTGTGACATCACCAATACAACATTCCCTGGTCAATGACGTCACCGAGTGACACCGTCCCTTAGTATATTTAGTGTCAGGAGGCAGCAGAGCTGTCAGACAGGGGGGAGTCTTCATTGGGAGCGGAGCTTTTCTTTCTGAGTCAGCGGGTGACAGCGAGCATCGTGATTGATGATGGATCTACACCTGCCTGCTGTCTATATAACAGAATACTTTGTTGGGGTGAATAATTAGGGGTACCACGTACCCCATACTCATTCACATGGGGTGAAGGATCTGAGGGCCTCCTTGTTAAATTTTGTAAGTCCTCTTCCCGCAAACCCCCACAGCCACTAGACTGGGTTGTGGGGAAGAGTCCCTTGTCCCCATCAACATGGACAAGGTGCTTTGGGTGAGCAAAGCCCCCCCTGCCGCAGAGCATGCACTCTATGTTAAGGGCATGTGGCCTGGTATGTTTAAGGAGGGGGGGTCACTTGCTCATCCCCCGTTTACTGACCTGCTGGGCTGCATGCTCAGATAGGGGTCTGGTATGTATTTCTTTCATTTTGGCAAGGGGTCCCCCTCAAAATCCATACCAGACCCGAGGGGGGGACCCCACGCCATTTTCTTAATTTTTCATTGCCGATAATTCTTTTTTTCAGATTTATCGGTTGGTTAGGACGCGGCACCCGCTCACTCCCTAACAACCATGTTGTTTACTGGTTGTTAACCACCTCCCGTCCGGCTGTTCTATATAAACGGCCGGACGGTGGCACTGCAGGGTAGGGTGGCTGTTTATAAATGGCCTCCCCACCCCCTGCTTGTGCGCGCTCCCTGGAAGCGCGCAGCACCACGATCCGGTGCCTGCTGTGTCCTCCGGACACAGTGAAACACCGGTCGTTGGATGGGACCTCTGTACGAGGTCCCGATCATGTGATCACTGATTGGCCAATCAGTGATCACATCCAGAGTAGTAAGCAAGATGACATTTGTGACTTCATTGCTTACTACGTGTGAAATCTGTGAATGATCACAGAGGTCACATGGTACAGGGCTATTCACAACAGCCTTGTACCATGTGACAAGCTGTGACCAATCACAGCTCACATAGTATTTCTCAATGGCTGCAAGAATGCAGACAGAGAGAAAGAGAAATGATTGCTTTTACATCCTATATGGGTGTAAAAAGCAATCAATGTAAAAAAAGAAAAAAAAAAAATCTTCATCACCTCCCACAAGTAGTACAGTGTCACCATGGTGACACTGTACTGCTAGGGTGACAGTATGTAAAATAAATAAATAATAATATAAAAAAATAAAATAAAAATTAAAAAAAAATTGTTTACAAATTATAATTTTTGGTTATAAACTAATTTGGCTTATTTTTTTTTTTACTAAAAAGATACATTTTGGCCAAGATTTATGATGAAATATTATTTATTTGCAAAATTTTATAAGAAAAACACTTTTTTTTCAAAATGTTTGGACATTTTCATTTATATAGCAAAAAAAAAAAAAATTCCAGCGGTGAATAAATACCACCAAAATAAAGTTTTATCTGTCTCAGAGTGTGTCCTCAGGGTGCGGGAGTACGACCTCAGAGTGCGGGAGTGTGACCTCAGGGTGCGGGAGTGTGACTTCAGGGTGCGGGAGTGTGACCTCAGAGAGTGGGAGTACGACCTCAGAGAGCGGGAGTATGACCTCAGAGAGCGAGAGTGTGACCTCAGAGTGCGGGAGTGTGACCTCAGAGTGCGGGAGTGTGACCTCAGAGAGCGGGAGTGTGACCTCAGAGTGCAGGAGTGTGACCTCAGGGTGCGGGAGTGTGACCTCAGAGAGCAGGAGTATGACCTCAGGGTGCGGGAGTGTAACCTCAGAGTCCGGGAGTGTGACCTCAGAAAGTGGGTGTGACCTCAGAGAGCGGGAGTACGACCTCAGAGAGCGGGAGTACGACCTCAGAGAGCGGGAGTACGACCTCAGAGAGCGGGAGGGGAGTACGACCTCAGAGAGCGGGAGTACGACCTCAGGGTGCGGGAGTGTGACCTCAGAGAGCGGGAGTACGACCTCAGAGTGCGGGAGTGTGACCTCAGGGTGTGGGAGAGTACGACCTCAGAGAGCGGGAGTACGACCTCAGAGTGCGGGAGTGTGACCTCAGGGTGCGGGAGTGTGACCTCAGGGTGCGGGAGTGTGACCTCAGAGAGCGGGAGTGTGACCTCAGAGTGCGGGAGTGTGACCTCAGGGTGCGGGAGTGTGACCTCAGGGTGCGGGAGTGTGACCTCAGGGTGCGGGAGTGTGACCTCAGAGTGCGGGAGTGTGACCTCAGAGTGCGGGAGTGTGTGACCTCAGCGATTAGTATGGGGGCGTGTCTGATGAAGGAAACCAAGGGCTCTATTTATAGAACATTCATTGGACCAATGAGACAATCATTCCTCCAGCTGTGACAACATCCAGCCTATGTTAAGTAACACAGTGATTTCCTATGATCGCCGGCTCCATCTAGTGGCCACAATGAGGTGATTTTTCTGAAATATCTCCATCAGTAAAATTAGCCCAATATGATATTATGGCCACTAGATGGAGCCAATGATCATAAGAAATAAAATACGGCCAAAACTCCTCCCAGCTGGAGAATGCCGGTCACATCCGTTCAACATTGTTCTCCATAGACCTCCAAGTGTTTGTGAAATCTCCCACCACAAAATGTACTCAGCCAATCACAAGACAGGACTCCATTTTTATTCTTCTCCTGCTATCAATGGCCAACCCGATTCCACACTTCATCCATTTCTTTGGGGACCTCTGATCTCCTTATGAACTGTTTCTTCCATGATGAAGATCAGCCATGGAGTATATCTGAGGTGTATATAGGGTGTGCTTCTTCCCCACATGAGAGCTGGGATGTCCAGCAACATTCATCTAGAAGACATTTCCCGCACTCAAGGTACTAATACACCTCCAGGGTTGTGTCGGACCCCTGATGTACAGGAAGACAGGACTTCAGTGAGGAATATTTCCCTCATTTATGACAGGAATGTGGCTTCTCCCCCATGTGAGATCTCTAATGTTGGGAAAGACTGGACTTATCTGAAAAAAATTTCCCGCACTCAGGAGAGGAATACAGCTTTTTTTCCCATGTGAAAACTTTGATGTTTGACAAGTCCTGAATTATGTACAAAACATTTCCCACACTCAGAACATGAATATGACTTCTCCCCCGTGTGAGATCTCTGATGTGTTGAAAGATTGGACTTCTGTGCAAAAACATTTCCCACACTCAGGACAGGAGTATGGCTTCTCCCCCGTGTGAAATCTCTGATGCTTGTAAAGATAAGACTTCTGTGAAAAACATTTCCCACACTCAGGACAGGAATATGGCTTTTCCCCCGTGTGAGATCTCTGATGTGTGTAAAGATAGGACTTCTGTGAAAAACATTTCCCACACTCAGGACAGGAATATGGCTTTTCCCCCGTGTGAGATTTTTGATGTTTGTGCAGACTGGACTTCTCTGAAAAACATTTCCCGCACTCAGGACAGGAATATGGCTTCTCTCCTGTGTGAGATCTCTGATGGCTGAAAAGATGGGACTTCTCTGAAAAACATTTCCCACACTCAGGACAGGAATATGGCTTCTCCCCTGTGTGAGATCTCTGATGTCTGGAAAGATCAGACTTCTGTGAAAAACATTTCCTGCACTCAGGGCAGGAATACGGTTTCACCCCCATGTGAAAATCTCTGATGTGTGTGAAGACTAAACTTCTCTGAAAAACATTTCCCGCACTCAGGACAAGAATATGGCTTCTCCCCTGTGTGAGATCTCTGATGTTTGTGAAGATGGGCCTTCTGTGAAAAACATTTCCCACACTCAGGACAAGAATACGGCTTCTCCCCAATGTGAGATCTCTGATGTGTGTGAAGATGGGACTTCTGTGAAAAACATTTCCCGCACTCAGGACAGGAATACGGCTTCTCCCCAATGTGAGATCTCTGATGTGTGTGAAGATGGGACTTCTCTGAAAAACATTTCCCACACTCAGGACAGGAATATGGCTTCTCCCCCGTGTGAAATCTCTGATGTTTGTGCAGACTGGACTTCTGTGAAAAACATTTCCCGCACTCAGGACAAGAATACGGCTTCTCCCCTGTGTGAGATGTCTGATGTTTGTGAAGATGGGACTTCTGTGAAAAACATTTCCCACACTCAGGACAAGAATATGGCTTCTCCCCTGTGTGAGATCTCTGATGTTGGTGCAGACTGGACTTCTGTGAAAAACATTTTCCGCACTCAGGACAAGAATATGGCTTCTCTCCTGTGTGAGATCTCTGATGTTTGTGCAGACTTGACTTCTCTGAAAAACATTTCCCGCACTCAGAACAAAAATATGGCTTCTCCCCTGTGTGAGATTTCTGGTGTCTGTAAAGATAGGACTTCACTAAAAAGCATTTCCCGCACTCAAGACAAGAATATGGCTTTTCCCCCACATGAGATCTCTGATGTGTGTGAAGACTGGACTTGTCAGAAAAACATTTCCCACACTCTGGACAGGAATATGGCTTCTCACCTGTGTGAGATCTTATATGCATATTAAGACGGGATTCAAGATGGAAACCCTTCCCGCACTCAGGACAGGAGAAGCTTTTTCTTGTTGGAAGGCCGGCCCGGTCCCGCACAGTCTGAGGTTCCTCAGGATACGAGGAATCCGATGGTCCATCTACACTGGGTGGTGCGGATGGACATTGGAGGGAGCCGGGTTTTCTCCTGGACTATACTGTGTGATGTCCTCATCTTCTACTTTCCAGTCTGGAGACAAAGTGAGACAATCCTCGGAGGTTTTCCTCATCTCCCGGCCATGGACTAAAAGACAAAGAGGATTACTAGACAGGAGCTGATTGGTTCCCCCAAACCAGGACTCCGCCCACATCAGGCAGCTTGGTCTCCAAGGAGCTTACAATTCCACCCTCAAGGGAACTAGGAAATGGCTCCTCTGATCTCCTACCAGGTCATTTCTTTATTCATGGACCTTAGTCAGAGAGTGAGGAAACAACCAGAACTGTCTTTTATAGGAGGGACAGTGATGAGGGGATTATAGGACGAGGGTCCCCACCCCCTCTATCACTCATCGCCATCTTCCCAACACAAGAAGTACTGCACTTCCTTATTTAGTCCATGATTTAGTCATGAAGAACAGCGGGGCTGAGCCCCACCAGAGGTCAGGGAGTGAGGATGGGGGGAGAACAACCAAGATGAAGACTGGACTGATCCTGAAGACCACCATCATCGGGGTATTGACTCCTCCCTCATTATCCCTTTCTCATTACCAATCACTTTCACTCTCTTCCTGCTCTGAACAATTTTCAGCTGTCAGCACTTTCACACTTTGAATGACAATTACTCAGTCATGCAACGCTGCACCCGTATTACATTTGTATCATTTTTTTTCTCACAAATTGATCTTTCTTTTGGTGGTATTTAATCACTGCTTGTGTGTTTTGTTTTAGTTTTTCTTTTTAGGTATAAACAAAAAAGACTAAAAATTTTGCAAGAAATGCATTTTTCTGTTTCTGTAATAAAATTTTGCAAATACTGTAAGTATTTTTTCTTCATAAATTTAGCCAAAATCTATACTGCTTCATTTCTTTGGTAAAATACCCCAAATCTGTGTATATTATATAGTCTGTGAGAAAGTTATAGAGTCTACATGCTATGGTACCAATCACTAAAACTGATCACTGACAACTGACCAATCCTAATGTACTCACATCATTTCTTGAGTCCCTTAATATGCCAGGAATAGTATAAATCCCCGAAATGTCAGGACGGTGTAAATCCCCCCAAATGTCAGGATGGTACAAATCCCCCCAAATGTCAGGACGGTACAAATCCCCCCAAATGTCAAGAGAGTAAAAATCCCCCCTAAATGTCAGGACAGTACAGATATCCCCCAAATGTCAGAACGGTACAAATATCCCCCAAATGTCAGAACGGTACAGATATCCCCCAAATGTCAGGAAGGTACAGATATCCCCCAAATGTCAGGACAGTACAGATACCCCCCCAAATGTCAGGACAGTACATATCCCCCATTGTCAGGACGATACAGATATCCCCCAAATGTCAGGACGGTACAGATATCCCCCAAATGTCAGGGACGGTACAGATCCCCCCATTGTCAGGACAGTACAGATATCCCCCAAATGTCAGAACGGTACAGATATCCCCCAAATGTCAGGACAGTACAGATATCCCCCAAATGTCAGGACGGTACAGATATCCCCCCAAAATGTCAGAACAGTACAGATATCCCCCCAAATGTCAGGACGGTACAGATATCCCCCAAATGTCAGAACGGTACAGATATCCCCCAAATGTCAGGACGGTACAGATATCCCCCAAATGTCAGGACAGTACAGATATCCCCCAAATGTCAGGATTAGAGATGAGCGAAGTATTCAAAAATTCGATTCGACTGATTCGGCGAATTCGTGGACAATATTCGATTCGAGTCGAATATATTCGCTGTGAATTTAACTTAAAAAAGGGTGTTTCTAGGCTTCAGAGAGACTTAATATTAGTGCAGAACACTGTACCTTTAATTTAAATGCCCTTGGAGTCTGCTGGGGAAGAGTACAGGGACCCAGATCACACTGTGGGACCAGCAGCAGCGTGACCAGGCGGTACGGGGGCCCATGGCCGATTTGGGGCCTGGCGGCACCTATGGAAGGCCTGTAATCTGCCAGCAACCTATGACAAAATGGAAAACCGCAGGAGTGTGAGGAGACCTCAAAGTGGCACATGGCAGAGTGGAAGCAATGGGAGGCCGTACAGGGACCCAGGTCACACTGTGGGCCCAGCAGCAGCGTGACCAGGCGGTACGGGGGCCCATGGCCGATTTGGGGCCCGGCACCTATGGGAGGCCTGTAATCTGCCAGCAACCTATGACAAAATGGAAAACCGCAGGAGTGTGAGGAGACCTCAAAGTGGCACATGGCAGAGTGGAAGCAATGGGAGGCCGTACAGGGACCCAGGTCACACTGTGGGACCAGCAGCAGCGTGACCAGGCGGTACGGGGGCCCATGGCCGATTTGGGGCCTGGCGGCACCTATGGGGAGGCCTGTAATCTGCCAGCAACCTATGACAAAATGGAAAACCGCAGGAGTGTGAGGAGACCTCAAAGTGGCACATGGCAGAGTGGGAGCAAATGGGAGGCCGTACAGGGACCCAGGTCACACTGTGGGACCAGCAGCAGCGTGACCAGGCGGTACGGGGGCCCATGGCCGATTTGGGGCCTGGCGGCACCTATGGAAGGCCTGTAATCTGCCAGCAACCTATGACAAAATGGAAAACCGCAGGAGTGTGAGGAGACCTCAAAGTGGCACATGGCAGAGTGGAAGCAATGGGAGGCCGTACAGGGACCCAGGTCACACTGTGGGCCCAGCAGCAGCGTGACCAGGCGGTACGGGGGCCCATGGCCGATTTGGGGGGCCTGGCGGCACCTATGGAGGCCTGTAATCTGCCAGCAACCTATGACAAAATGGAAAAAACCGCAGGAGTGTGAGGAGACCTCAAAGTGGCACATGGCAGAGTGGGAGCAATGGGAGGCCCGTACAGGGACCCAGGTCACACTGTGGGACCAGCAGCAGCGTGACCAGGCGGTACGGGGGCCCATGGCCGATTTGGGGCCTGGCGGCACCTATGGGAGGCCTGTAATCTGCCAGCAACCTATGACAAAATGGAAAACCGCAGGAGTGTGAGGAGACCTCAAAGTGGCACATGGCAGAGTGGGAAGCAATGGGAGGCCGTACAGGGACCCAGGTCACACTGTGGGACCAGCAGCAGCGTGACCAGGCGGTACGGGGGCCCATGGCCGATTTGGGGCCTGGCGGCACCTATGGAAGGGCCTGTAATCTGCCAGCAACCTATGACAAAATGGAAAACCGCAGGAGTGTGAGGAGACCTCAAAGTGGCACATGGCAGAGTGGCAGCAATGGGAGAGCAATGGGAGGCCGTACAGGGACCCAGGTCACACTGTGGGCCCAGCAGCAGCGTGACCAGGCGGTACGGGGGCCCATGGCCGATTTGGGGCCTGGCGGCACCTATGGGAGGCCCGTAATCTGCCAGCACCCTATGACAAAATGGAACCCTGGGCTGGGGCAGGTGAACCGCCGAGATCTTCAAATCACATGGCAGGTGGAAGCAATGGCGACGCTGCATATGCAGGGACCCAGCAACTGTAGTCCCAACATGGGCCCCCTGGCCACGCTTGACTTTCTGGCCACATAGTCGACATACGGCTGGCAGCACTTATGGGAGGCCCGGCGGCTTGACGTCAAAAAATTGCCACACCGCCGAGTAGGAAACTTTGGCACCCGCTACACCTCACTGGCTGACTGCTGCTACTTCCTCCGTGCACACCGGCACCACTATGGAGGTGGTGGTAGGCTGCCCAGTGGAGATTGGTGCTCTACTCCGTGGCCGTTTGCCTCCACTGACACTGCTGCAGACCCTGCTGCCTCCTGGCAGCAGCAATGGGAGGCCGTACAGGGACCCATGACATGACTCTGGACCTGGCAGCAGCATGAGGAGGCGGTATAGGGGCCCATGGCAGATTAGGGGCCTGGCAGCAGCTATGGGAGGCCCGTAATCTGCCAGCACCCTATGTCAAAAAATTGAACACACCAGCAGTGTGAGGAGACCTGAAAGTGGCACATGGCAGAGTGTGGCGATGGGACAGCAGCAATGGGAGGCCGTACAGGGACCCCAGGTCACACTGTGGACCAGCAGCAGCGTGAGGCGGTATAGGGGCCCATGGCAGATTTAGGGGCCTGGCGGCAGCAGCTATGGGAGGCCCGTAATCTGCCAGCAACCTATGACAAAAAATGGAAAACCGCAGCAGTGTGAGGAGACCTGAAAGTGGCACATGGCAGAGTGTGGCGATGGAGACAGCAGCAATGGGGCCGTACAGGGACCCAGGTCACACTGTGGACCTGGCAGCAGCGTGACCAGGCGGTACGGGGGCCCATGGCCGATTAGGGGGCCTGGCAGCAGCTATGGGAGGCCCTGTAATCTGCCAGCACCCTATGACAAAAAATGGAACACACGCAGGAGTGTGAGGAGACCTGAAAGTGGCACATGGCAGAGTGGGAGCAATGGGAGGCCGTACAGGGACCCAGGTCACACTGTGGGACCAGCAGCAGCGTGACCAGGCGGTACGGGGGCCCATGGCCAGATTGGGGGCCTGGCGGCACCTATGGGAGGCCTGTAATCTGCCAGCACCCTATGACAAAATGGAACCCTGGGCTGGGCAGCCAACCGCCGTATCTTTATCACAGTTTTCCCAGTGGCCACCGAATGGCGATGCTGCATATGCTGACGCAACGCTGTAGTCCCCAACATGCCCCCTGGCCACGCTGGCCACTTTCAAGGGCCTCATAGTGGGGCATACGGCAAGTTTACGTTTCCAGTAGCTTGAGGAAAATTGTCCACACCGCCGGTAGGAAACTTTGCACCCGCTACTCCCTGGCCTGGCTGACTGCTACTCCTCCGTGCCACCGGCACCACTACTGCCTGCTGGTGGTGCGGCTGGCAGTGGAGCTGGTGCTCTACTCCGTGGTTTGCCTCCACTGACACTGCTGCGACCCTGCTGCCTCTGGCAGCAGCAATGGGAGAGGCCGTACAGGGCCACCCATGACCACCCCACTCCTCACCTGCTGCCAGCAGCAGCGGAACGCGAGCGGTACAGGGGCCCATGGCCTGATTATGGGCCTGGCAGCAGCAATGGGAGGCCCGTAATCTGCCAGCACCCTATGTCAAAATTTTGGAAACCCTCTCAGCAGTGTGTGTGAAGAGACCTCAAAGTGGCACATGGCAGAGTGGAAGCAATGGGAGGCCGTACAGGACCCAGGTCACACTGTGGTTATTAACCAGCAGCAGCGTGACCGGGCGGTACGGGGGCCCATGGCCGATTTGGGGCCTGGCGGCACCTATGGAAGGCCTGTAATCTGCCAGCAACCTATGACAAAATGGAAAACCGCAGGAGTGTGAGGAGACCTCAAAGTGGCACATGGCAGAGTGGAAGCAATCCACTCCTGGCCGTGAGGGACCCAGGTCACACTGTGGGCCCCTGCAGTGACCAGGCCTCCTACTACCCCATGGCCGATTTGGGGCCTGGCGGCACCTATGGGAGGCCTTTAATCTGTGCCAGCAACCTATGACAAAATGGAAAACCCAGGAGTGTGAGGAGACCAGCAAAGTGGCACATGGAGAGTGCAACAGAGCAATGGGAGTCGCCGTACAGGGACCCAGGTCACTGACTGTGGGACGCCCAGCAGCAGCGTGACCAGGCGGTACGGGGGCCCATGGCCGATTTGGGGCCTGGCGGCACCTATGGAAGGGCCTGTAAATGCCTGCCAGCACCCTATGACAAAATGGAACCCTGGGAAATGGTGCAGGCAGAACCGCTGCTCGTAAAGGCGGTCTAACATGTGTCAGGGTTTTCCCCTTGTTGCACCGCAATCAGGCGATGCTGTGGAATTCCTGTTCTGCAACGCTGCAGTCCCAAGGGTGGCTTTGCGGTGTGAGAATGGCTGGCCACATGCATGCACAGTTTACGTGACATTTTAAGGATGTCTTGCAGTGGGATGCCACACCGCCGAGTAGGAACCGCTTGACAACCAGATTGAACACCTCAGCCATGCATGGCTACATGGCACAACCTTCCTTGACGCAGAGCAGACACCATGTTCTACTCCGTTGTCGGTCAACATGGTTCCGATTTGCAGTTTGGCGCGGAGACAGCCATCTGTCGATTTCTCTGTTCATTACACTCAGAAGTTCCTCCCCTGTGTGACTACGTTCGCCAAGGCATACCAGGTGCAGCAGCAGGGAGGCCGTGCACAGGGACCCATGACACACTCTGGACCTGGCTGGCAGCATGACTTGAAGCATGGGCTTGGCACTGGACCCAGAAGCAGGTGGGGCATGGCAGGATTACGGCTGGCCTGGCAGCAGCAAGGTGGGAGGCCCGGAATCTGCCAGCACCCCTATGTCAAAAAATTGAACACACCAGCAGTGTGAGGAGACCTCAAAGTGGCACATGGCAGAGTGGAAGCAATGGGAGGCCGTACAGGGACCACAGTTCACCCAGTGGGCCGCAGCATGACATGTACGTGACCCTGACCGTAGTTACGGGGGCCCATGGCCGATTTGGGCGCCTGGTGCACCTTTGGCAGAGACCGACATGCTCAAATCTGGCCAGCACCTATCTTCAAAATGTGAAAATGCAGGGTGTGGGAGACCTCAAAGTGGCACATGGCAGAGTGGAAGCAATGGGAGGCCGTACAGGGACCCTCTCTCACACTGTGGGCGCGGCACAAGCCATCATTTCTCGGAAAGGTGCTGGGGGCCCAGTTGGCCGATTTGGGGCCTGGCGGCACCAGCAATTGGAGGCCAGGAGGACGTTCTGCTTTTGCACAACGGGTGCGTGCTGCAAACTGTTGTCTCTTGGAAAATTCCCTGTTGAAAAACCGCAGGAGTGGAGAGACCTCAAAGTGGCACATGGTAGAGTGGGAGCAAAGGAGCCTGAACAGGGACCCAGGTCACACTGTGGGACCACAACAGCAGCCCTCAGACCAGAGGTGTTGGGGCCTTGACTGGCTGATTTGAGGGCGATTGGCGGCACCTCGGGGACGGGCCAAGTAACGGCCAGCACCGGGTGATGGAGCGGGGGCTGGGGCAGGCAGAACCGCCGTATCTTTATCACGGTTTTTTTCCCAGGCCACCGAATGGCGACGCTGCATATGCTGACGCAACGCTGTAGTCCCAACATGGGCCCCCTGGCCACGCTTGACTTTCTGGCCACATAGTCGACATACGGCTACGTTTACTTCCTCGGGCGGCTTGACGAAAAATTGCCACACCACCGAGTAGGAAACTTTGCCCCCGCTACTCCTCACTGGCTGACTGCTACTTCCTCCGTGCGCACCGGCACCACTACTGGCCGTGGTGGTAGGCTGCAGTGGAGCTGGTGCTCTACTCCGTGGCCGTTTGGGTTTGGCTCCACTGACACTGATGCGACCCTGCTGCCTCCTGGGCAACCCACCGACTGTTTCGCTCGCTGCCAAGCTGGCACCCTCTTCTCCTGATGATGCGGAAGAAATTGCCTGATGACGACGAGGCTGCCAAGTGCGATCAACCTCCTCATCATCAAGTAGGGTCTCCGCCTCACTACTAGCCCCCTCGGCTGCGTCTGGGTCAGGAGACAGACCTGTCTCTAGACCGGCTACCGAGCCACTCTCCTCGCCAGTACTTGTTCGCCTGGCTGCTGAAAAGGCGGATGTCTCCCCCCGTTCCTGACCGCCCTCTGTTAGCTCTTCCTCACTGTACAGTGGGGCTGAGCCCACAGCATGCGATACTTCGCTTGGTGAGGGAACAGCAAAGGACAGGGGCAGGTAGAGGACACGTGATTTCAGTGGGCTTGCTCCCGGGCCATGCCAACTAACGGTTGTGTCTGACGTACCCACCGACCGTTGGCTGTAGGTGTCAGAGGTGACCTGGGAAGAGGAAGACGACCGAGCCAACCAATCGATGACGGCAGGGTTGTCGGTGGAGACACGACCGCTGGATGACACCGGGAGCACTGGCCTCTGGCTGCGAATAGTGCTGCCTCGACCCCTTCCTCTGCTGCCACGTCTGCTCGCTCCTAAAACATTGCCTCCTCTGCCACTCCTCTGCATGTTGTCTGACATACTCTTTAATTCAACGATTCTGTGTCCCTGAGTAACAATTCTGTGTCCCTGAGTAACAATTCTGTGTCTGTCCCTGAGTAACAATTCTGTGGCCCTAAGTAACGGTTCTGTGGCCCTCAGTAACAATTCTGTGTCCCTGAGTAACAATTCTGTGGCCCTAAGTAACAATTCTGTGGCCCTAAGTAACAATTCTGTGGTCCCTCAGTAACAATTCTGTGTCCCTGAGTAACAATTCTGTGGCCCTGAGTAAGTAACAATTCTGTGGCCCTCAGTAACAATTCTGTGTCCCTGAGTAACGTTTATGTGGCCCTAAGTAGTAACGGTTCTGTGGCCCTCAGTAACAATTCTGTGTCCCTGATTAACGTTTCTGTGGCCCTAAGTAACGGTTCTGTGGCCCTCAGTAACAATTCTGTGTCCCTGAGTAACAATTCTGTGTCCCGAGTAACAATTCTGTGGCCCTAAGTAACAGTTCTGTGGCCCTCAGTAACAATTCTGTGTCCCTGAGTAACAATTCTGTGGCCCTAAGTAACGGTTCTGTGGCCCTCAGTAACAATTCTGTGTCCCTCAGTAACAATTCTGTGTCCCTGAGTAACAATTCTGTGGCCCTAAGTAACGGTTCTGTGGCCCTCAGTAACAATTCTGTGTCCCTGAGTAACAACGTTTCTGCCCTAAGTAACAATTCTGTAAGTAACGGTTCTGTGCCCTCAGTAACAATTCTGTGTCCCTGATTAACGTTTCTGTGGCCCTAAGTAACGGTTCTGTGGCCCTCAGTAACAATTCTGTGTCCCTCAGTAACAATTCTGTGTCTGTCCCTGAGTAACAATTCTGTGGCCCTAAGTAACGGTTCTGTGGCCCTCAGTAACAATTCTGTGTCCCTGATTAACGTTTCTGTGGCCCTAAGTAACGGTTCTGTGGCCCTCAGTAACAATTCTGTGTCCCTGAGTAACAATTCTGTGTCTGTCCCTGAGTAACAATTCTGTGGCCCTAAGTAACAGTTCTGTGGCCCTCAGTAACAATTCTGTGTCCCTGAGTAACAATTCTGTGGCCCTAAGTAACGGTTCTGTGGCCCTCAGTAACAATTCTGTGGCCCCTGTAACAATTCTGTGGCCCTCAAGTAACAATTCTGTGGCCCTAAGTAACGGTTCTGTGCCCTCAGTAACAATTCTGTGTCCCTGAGTAACAATTCTGTGGCCCTAAGTAACGGTTCTGTGGCCCTCAGTAACAATTCTGTGTCCCTGATTAACGTTTCTGTGCCCTAAGTAACGGTTCTGTGCCCCCTCAGTAACAATTCTGTGTCCCTGATAAACGTTTCTGTGGCCCTAAGTAACGGTTCTGTGGCCCTCAGTAACGGTTCTTCTGTGTCCCTCAGTAACAAATTCTGTGTCTGTCCCTGAGTAACAATTCTGTGGCCCTAAGTAACGTTTCTGTGGCCCTAAGTAACGGTTCT